CCTAAATGCAGGTCCTGACCACTGGATCTCCATAGAGTGAAAGAGACTCTCCTTTCAGCCTTTGTAGCACCTGATGGAAAATCATGCGAATATGCTATGTCTGATGTGCCGCTCTTCGTATGATTAGATAGCTTCTGGCACAAGCTAACAACACTTGATGGGGCTCAAGGTGTTTAGAATAACCACTCTTAATATATATCTTTTTCCGATGAGAACGGATATTCCTAAGCTGATGATGTTATCCTTCTGATAAAAAGTAACTCTCGACACCAACTAGAAGATATCTACGTATTTATATATCCCCTCCTACATAATTAAAATCATTTTGGGTTAAAAAAACAATAGAGGAAGACACCTTTGAGCACTTACTTACTGTGTACCTGTACCTGTTGATTCTAGTGACGTCACATCATGAGGGTCCCAATCAATGAGTAGAGTCCCTTTATACTGAGAGTCAAGACAACACCCCTCATGGAGTCACAAACGGGAATAAAGATTACAGAAATTGAACGTTTTTCGTAATCTTTGATCGGCCCATTCTCAAACTCCTTTCTCCGTCCCTTCTCTCATTCCGTTTGTTCCTTGCCGAACCCGTAATTCCCTGGTCCATTCTAGATTATAATCTTTGCAATCGGTGAAAATGTAATCTTTATTCCCGTTTGTGACATTGCGAAGGCCTAAAATACGGGAACCAATCAGAAATGGATTCACATTGTCTTGACTCTCAGTATAAAGGGACTCTATCAATGAGCATACCATTGAAATCTCATCGGGCATCCGTTTAAACCTGTGACGTCATAGCTTGACTTTCTCAACTTCAATAGGTGAGGATATCGGATGTACTGAGTTCCCTTCTACTCTTGTGACGTCACATACCATAGGTGTCGGTGTCCCAACTTATGAGTACTCTCTTTGAGCAACCATTGAGTCTCGGGACGTCACACCTTGAGCTCCTCAGTATTGTAGACGTCCTCGAGTACGAGCACTAGGATTGAGCGCCCTTTGACTCTCACAACGCCACACCATGTGGCATCCGTTGATTGGAGATCTCGCACATGTCAGGAAATTGCGATCAAGCTACCGATCCCTGTGTAAAATTCTGCGAGAAAAACGATGGTAACACTGGTTTTCTCTGAAAGTAACTCTAAAACTCAAAGAGATGTTTCAAAGTTGAGGTCGTAATTGAGGGGATATGATATCCCACGCTATACTGGGAGTCCACCTCTTCATCAAGTCAATTCGTCCATGCGAAGATGTGGAGCAAATACATTTACAGGGTTGCTACCTTGTTCGGGGACTCCAAAACTGAGAACACGCCAACCTGCTTTAAAGTGGCGCCAGCTCTTCCATTTACATTACGACTCTATGAACTCTGGTGACGTCACACCGTAAGGATCTTAAATGGACCGCGTTAAACAGAAAGGAACCAAGCCACATCAGCTATTGCCAAATTTAATCGGGCGATTTAATTTTTTACATGAAAACGGTTGTGCGGATTTCTGTGCAAATCTCAGTGAAATTTTTCCGTAATACAAAGCAAATTCCTTAAAATTTGCAAAGGAATCTGCACAGGCGCCTTTTCGTAAAAAATGTAATTTCCCTGTTAAATTTGGCAATAGCTGATGTGGCTTGGTTCCTTTCTGTTTAACGCGGTCCAAATATGAATACATCACAGGGTACAGTATAGACCCACGGAGCATCCGTTGAATCCTGTGACGTCAGGCGGCGAGGGTCTCAATCACCCGCGTCTGCTCCCGGTGGCGGAGTCGGGATGGGCGCGGAGCGAAGCGAGCGATTACAGTGCTCGGCGGAGGAGCCCGCGGAAGACGATCTTGTTTAAATATTTGATTCCGGGTAATTTATCGTCGTCATTACGCCTAATTCGCCGTCGCCCCGCACGGGAGCTCCGGAGCGGGAGCCCGGGCGGCTGATGGAGCCCGGTAAGGCGAGTAATGGCGCGTAATTGGCGGTTGCCGGATCGAGTCGCGCATGCGCAGGCCCGGGGTGCGGCGAGCACCCCGCCGCGAACGACGCCCGACGCACGCGCCGCCGACGAGCAGCGTGGAAGAGGTGGAATTAGCATCCACGCACCGGGGTGTCCGGGGTGCAGGAGTACTGCAGGAGTCGGGAGTCATCACCCGGCAGATACGGCGCTCCATCACACCTACCGTAACCGGGGCAATAACCCTCACGGGAATCCTCTGTCAGCACAGCGGGCTGATTATTGAAATTGATAGACAAAGCTATAGACAAAAAGGGCATAGGGAGTATGGAGCGATCCTATTGGTTGAAGTGTGTGGTTCTTATAGACGAAGGGAGAAAATGATAGACTAACTGTCGGCTTCTCGTGGGTTGCAGTTAGTTAGTCTATTACCTGCTGCCTTTGTCCATCACAACCACCCGCTTCCACCAATAGGATTCCTCCATATCCCTTTTGTCTCTTTTGTCTATAGCTTTGTCTATCAATTTCAATAATCGGCCCGCAGGCAACTTCTCGCATCCACCGATTTAGGCACTTGATCCGGTCAGCCCATCCGAAATTTTGTGTGGGACGTGATGCACGCAGGGAAAAAAGCGTCCTTGATGCTCTTCAGGGTGTCTAGAAGTCCGGAAAAAGTACACTGGAAAGAAAAAACACATTGGATTATAGAGTCCGCAGACTCTTAAAAACATTGACAAAAAAAAAAAAAATGCTCTCAATTCAATCGGATTTTTGCTCGATTCAAAACGAAATCAGCTTAAATTAAGAGGCTTGGTTCTTGGTTTAAGCTAGATTCTGATTGAATCAAGAGTGATTTTTCTTGTCGATGTTTTTAAGAGTCTGGACTCTAGATCCAATGTGTTTTTTTTTTTTCCAGTGTACTGATTTTTTCAGGGCGGTCTGGAAGTACTGATAAAGAGCGGAATTCCGCAAGATGGTCCGTAATTTTTTAATTTCTGCGTCATTTTTGTCGTAATTTGAGCGGGAAATTCAATTTTTCTTTAAATTTGCCGAATTTTGTCAATTGGAGGTACTGAAAAAGTACTGAATTTTTTCTGTTGATGAGGTACTGAATTTCTTGGGAATGCACTGAAAAAATATTGTTAAAGTCCTGCTTTTTGGCCAGCCTGTTTTTGTAGACAAGACATACTGCTCTTATACAATTATTATCATAATTGGCTTGGGCTCCACCCGTTTTTCCAGTCGTAGTTACAATGATTCTCCTATGACATAAATTATTTAATTGTGACCGGACCTGAGAAAAGGAACCGTATCTTCCGAAACTTCTAAGAGTTATTGCTATCATGGTGCCCCGTGTCTTGTTCAAAATGAACTCACAATACGACGAGAAGCTCTCAAAGTTGAGGCAGACTCACAGTCATCTACCGTCTAAGCCTATTTTTGAGGACCCCAAAAGTAGAGTACATTGTTACTTGAACATCCCCGAAATTTCGCTTCGAAATGTAATTCATCGGTAAAATTTTAGACGGGGTTGATCGGACCTTCAAGACATCCTGTACGTCACATAAAGTCGCATATGAGATTTTCCTAAGAGCAAAGAGCTTGTAGGGCAGATCTGAATGACGCCAGCGAAATGATATCATGGCGCTTTTTCAACCATCGATCTTACAAGGAATTGGACCGGTCGTTTTCCTACCCTTTCGTTCAAGTCTCCAAGGGTATCCTCTACACTGGAAAAAAAACACATTGGATCTAGAGTCAAGACTCTTAAAAACATCAACAAGAAAAAATACTCTTGATCCAATAAGATTTAAGCTTAAATCAAGAACCAAGCCTCTTAATTTGAGCGGATTTCCTTTTGATTTAAGCTTAAATCTGATTGAATCAAGGGTCCTTTTTCTTGTCAATGTTTTCAAGAGTCTGCACTCTAGATCCAATGTGTTCTTTTTTCCAGTGTACAAAAATAACTTAAGAGTATGAATGCTCTTAAACCTAGAATTTCATAAGAAGTGGACCTCTTTTCTTGCACGAACGTAGCAGGTAGGTTACAGCTTATTCCCAACTATTAACTATTTCACACCGAAGTTATTTCTGTTTGCATGGTACGTGTGTTTCATATAGAGACGCATATGAGAGTTTTTTAAGAGCTTGTAGAGCTGTTTTAAGGCAGAATTGAAAGAAATCAGCGGAATAATATCATGACTCTGTTTCAGTTCTCAATCCGAAGAGGAATTGGACTTGTCACTTTCTTATCCTTTCGTTCAAGTCTCCATGATTGCCCTTCAAAACGATAGCATACCCAGTCCATAAACTGTAAAGTCAACGAAAAGTGGACCTCTTTTCTGGCACGAACGCAGAGTTTTCTGCCGTAACCACACACTCGAGACGTATTCAGTGTCTTTACAGATGCCTCTGTCCGCCTGTTCTGCCGTTCTAATAAGGGTTGTTTGAGTATTTGGACGTTGCCAAATCTAATCTGATAAAATGCGAAACACCTGCAAATCTTGCGAATGTCCTTAATCGCAAGAACAGGAAACTCTCGCCACTTCTCTCCATTTTTTAAAGAGAATTTAGCTCACAATTTAATCGGCCACTTTTGAAATTTCCAAGGATAAAAATTCGTGGCTTCCTACGAAAGGGCTGATTTGGATTGCATTTTGCAAAAAGTAATCAGGAGCATTGCAATGTTGCTAACATTGTGCAAACTTTTTTGTCTTGGAAGAAAACCCTGATTGTCTATGAACAGTTTCCATGTTACACGCTGAAAATTTTAAATTTTAGACAAAAATTACCACGTACATTTCATATTTTTGCATGATTTCGTAAGTTTTATTACAAAGGATGAAGTTGCACAATCTTAGCAACAGTGCAACGCTCCTGGTTCCTTTTTGGAAAATGCAATCCATTTAATCAGGCGAAATTTGGCTACGCTGGAATGTGCGTACGGCAATTCCTCTTATCAGGACAGTGTACCTATTCCAACCGGTTCGTTACAACTAATGGTATATGTTTCTCGGAGTGATGTGTCCTCATGGTGGTTTGTTTTCGGTTGTTTCAGATGCTTCCTCGTCAAACGAGGCGGTGCGGCTGCAGCAGACTCTGCGAAGCCTGAGCTCGGAGTTGGTGACGTTGCGAAACCGGTTGCACGTCCAGGCGGCGCCACCCGTCGCGGGAACGGGAACCGGCACGGGCACGGGCACCCCGGCGGCCCCCTTACCACTCGCCAACGGCACGAAGCAACCCCAGGGCATGATCGGCGCCCCGCTCAACCATAGCCTCATCGCGCCCGTCGTCCCCAAGCACCCACTTACCATTTCTCACACCCTATCCGCCCCTGGCACCGGCGGACAGGCCACAGGTACGTTTTCATCCTATCTAGTGTATTTTCCCTCACTGAAAAAAAAAAAAAAAAAAAAAAAAAANAAAAAAAAAAAAAAAAAAAAAAAAAAAAAAAAAAAAAAAAAAAAAAAAAAAAAAAAAAACACATTGAATCTAGAGTCCAGACTCTAAAAAACATCGGCAAGAAGAAGCACTCTTGATTCAATCAGAATCTAGCTTAAATCAAGAACCAAGCCTCTCAATTTAAGCGGATTTCGTTTTGATTCAAGCAAAAATCCGATTGAATCAAGAGTATTTTTTCTTGTCAATGTTTTCAAGAGTCTGGACTTTAGAACCAGTGTGTTTTTTCCAGTGCTCTGAACTTCATTCAGTGGCGATTCCAGCAAGTTGGCAACACTGTTAATATTCCGTGTATATCCATTCAATATATCGATTCTAGGGAGTGCTCCCATTTCCCGGAACTTTTGAGATTTTCCTAAAATTTTTCCCGGAAGTTTTGAAATGCCTGAAACGTTCCGGATCTTTTGCATTTTCCGGAACTTTCTCGTCAATTCTAAAAAAAACTTAAAAGGGACCCCGGAACTTTTGACGGTCACGGAGTGGGAGAAATTGCAACAAAAATGTTCCGAATCCCGGAACTTTTGACGAACATGGAATGGAAGCACTGATTCTAGGTAAGAAATGGCTACCTCACCCAGGATCGATTGGTTAACATGCATTTAAATGGAAAGAACAGTGTTGCCAACTTGCAAGAATCTCCGAAATAGGCGAGTGGAGCAACTGCCCTCCTCCCTGCATTTTAAAGTTCAGCTTTCCTCTGGGTAATTTTATTCAGTTTGAACTATCTTCAAGATTTTTTTAGATTTTCCAAAGTTTGGCCCCCCCTTTTCCCAAGCAGATTTGGCCTCTTTCCAGTAACTTTCGCCCTCTTGATTTCATATCCACCCCAGGCAGGCATTAACGTCGAATTTTCATCCCCTTCCTCTGCTAATGAAATATCTAGAAAATAATGAATTTGGCAGGACTTTTCAAGCAGTTGCAATGTCATATTCGTGATAAAATATAGTTTAGTCCCCGTAACAATGCTGCGTTGTTCCGGGGAACGAAACAATAGTTGGACTGCATTTTGCAATTTGAAACTATAAATTCCGGCTCTTCTGGAAAAACACTTATGTACATAAGGAATCTAATGACGCATACGTTGTTTTTAAACCGGGCTAGAATTTATAGTTCCAAATTGCAAAATGTAGTCCAGTTATTACAAGAAACATTGTAACTATGACTTGAAAGTAGGTGGGGGCTGGAATCGAACAGCACTGCAAGAGCTGCGATTCTTTATTCTTCGTTACACTGTCATGTGATTAATGGGATTTTTTTAGTTTGTTTTTTTAATATGTGCTGTAGAAACTTTTTAAATGTTCATATTTTTCTCCCCAAACAAAAGAAGTTGCGCCATCTTAGGAACATTGCAATGCTAGTTGTTCTTAGTTGGAAAATTCAGTCAGAGTCGGTGTGTTGTTATGATTAATGATGTCCTCTTCGCCTGTTGCAGACTCGCTGAAGAAGCGAAATTCGTCAGGCGGAGCGATGGAGGGCGACATGGGCGCCCCTGCGGCGGCGGCGCCTCCCACGCCCGCCGCCCCCGTCTCGACGGCCACGGGCACCGCGCCCGGCGACAAGTTTCCCAAGGGCACGATGCGCCCCTCCCACGGTAGCCCTCACCTCGACGACCTCATCTACCTACCCGGGCCCCTCACCGAGGACGCCGTCCTCAAATGCCTCCACGCCAGATTCGCAACCGCACAGTTTTTCGTAAGTTCCACCCTCTTTTCATAACATTTTCGCAGACGAAACAACCCCTTTCATTTTCATCCCCTCTCTACCTCTACCTCTACCTCTACACCATGAAGACAAAGGAGAGAAGACGCTTTGTGAGCTACGCGGTGAGTCTTTACTCAAGACCAGGGTGTCTACAAGTCCGGAATTTCCGGAAAATCCGGATATAGTATTGATTTTTTAAGGGCAGTCCGGAAATACTGAAAAAGTGTGGAATCCCGCAAGAAGGTCTGGAATTTTTTCATTTTTTTCGCAATTCGAGCGAGAAATTCACATTTTTGAAAATTTTTGAATTTTGTCAATTGGAGGTACTGAAAAAGTACTGAATTTCTCTTATGAGGAGGCACTGAATTTTTTGGGAATGGACTGGAAAAGTACTGTAAAAGTACTGATTTTTGGCCGCCCTGTTTTAGTAGACACCCTGAAAACATATCACAAATGAACAATTCGTCGCCTACCTGACATAAGGACGCAACTACACTCTGCAATGAACCTTGTCCTCCATACAATTCAATGCTTTTTCGGGTTCATCTTAATGTGTAGTTGCGTCCTTATGTCAGCCAAGCGACGAATTGGACGTATTTATTCTGAAAGGAATAGTTAACGAATGGATTAAATCAAAAGGAAGCTTTTGAAAATTGTAGGTTCCTTTTGGTTGAATGGATTTTCACAAAGTTTCTTTTAGCATAATTGCGTCTCATCCTCACGATGGAAGGGAGTTGTTAGTAAGTTAATTTCTTCGGCGAGGGACTTGACTTAATCCATCTAAGAATACCGTTGCCTCTATTGGGATGTTTCCGTCTCCTCTCCTAAAGAGACCTCCTCTCAGGAAGAATATAAAAAATGAAAATAAATAGATAAATAAATAAAAAAAATAGAAAAAGTTTAACCAAAATCAAGATTTTTTTTCTTCTCTTTTCCGAATTTCATTTAATTCAATATACGAATAATGTTAGCAGAAATCCTCAAGATCCTAGGGATCAGAATATTTACATTAAAATGTCTAAGCTGAAAAAAAGGAGATAGGATGGATTCAAAACATTTTTGTTCAAATTCCTCCCACTCCATGACCGTCAAAAGTTCTGGGATTCCTTGTAGATTCATTCAAAAGATCCGGAACACTTCCGGAATTTCAAAAGTTCCGGGAAAAATCAGATAGTCTCAAAAGTTCCTGAATTCGGAACTAGTTCCGGGAAATGGAAACACTGCAATAAGTTGGGGTAGTACCAAAATTTTAAGGGATAACCCCTAACACTTTTTCCCCCGTGGATCTTAAGTTCCGATATGCCTGGTTTTCACCCAGCCAACCCAACTGGTGCTCTACACCAACTAAATTTTTGCGTCACTCTAACTTTCATTGTCGGTATGGTAGTGGTTGGTCCATCTACCGTGACACGTCAAATTTTGTAGAGTACTGCATCAACTAGGGTTAGCCGCAGTGCCTTTTTTCAGCGCAGAAAATTATAAGTATCAAAATAGAGGTTAAATCACCGAGGCACCTTAGAAAAGAGTGCTGAAGACTCTTGGATTTTATAAGGACCCCGCACTCCGAAGTCCCTTCGTCAAGATGGGATCTGACAAGCGCCGGCGCCGTGCCTCGTATGCAAACACATAACGCCCGGGTGTTCCGCCGTCACCGAGTGACGGGTATCAGGTTACGCTCTCCGCTATCACTGACCACTCGGCCGTAACCTTTTCTGCTGCTCGACGCACAGTGGATCGAGTCGATTAGAGAGGTCGGACTTGAAATTTTTGACTAAAACTGAAAATTTTTACGTTTATTTCGTCGTATTTTAAGTTTCGAGGGATACCAGTAGCAGAAAATCTCACGAGGAAACCAATGGAACCACTTTTAGAACCTCGAAGTTGGGTATAAACGGGGTTGTAAGCCAGGGTGTCTACAAGTCCGGAATTTCGGGAAAGTCCGGATGTAGTACTGATTTTTTAAGGGCGGTCCGGAAGTACTGCAAAAGTGCGGAAATTCCGCAAAAAGGTCCGGAATTTTTTTGACCTTTTTGTTATTTTCGTCGCAGTTTCAAATTTTTGAAATTTGTCTAACTTCGTCAAATGGAGGTACTGTAAAAGTACGGAATTTTTCTGTTGGAGGAGGTATACTTAATTTCTCGAGAATGTACTGAAAAAGTACTGTAAAAGTACTACTTCTTGGCCAGCCTGTCTTAGTAGACACCCTGTGTAAGCGTTTAAAGTTTCCAAATTTTGTCCGACCTCTCCTATTGACTCGATCCACTGTGCGGCGCAGCGTTCTCTTCTCGGAGCTTTCCTCGGTGCCGTTTCGAGTCATCTGTGTTGAATGGCTCCTCACATTTGTGTTCTAACGCGTGAAATAAACTATGACTGTGCCTGCCAGCACGTCCAAGAGGATACTTGATTCCCAGATGCCGCCGCAGATAGCGCTCGACTACAGGCATCTCCCCATCTCGCAATTTTTTCTCTACACAGCTTATAGAACCGCATGCCTTTGGGACAGATCTTCAGTCAACGTAAACAAACATGCTGGCGTCATACACGTTTTGCCAAATCACTAGTTCCGCATTTAAATCGCAGAATATTTGTCATCCACGGGAGAAGACTCTAATCCTTGGAGGCAAAATATTCAATAAAACGATTTGTATGGAGATGCATTGAAGAATCAGATCGGATTTTGGGCTTTTATTGGAAAAATCTCTTCAGTATCCCAAAAAATCAGTCGTGAGCTGCTCAGTTCATTTCTAGGGTAGCCGGCGGTCTACAAAACCTGGAAAATTTGGAATAGTCGGGGAATTTTCAAAGGCCGAATAAAGCCAGGGAAATCTTGACACACATTAAGCACTAAAACTTATCCCTGATCTTCCCCAACTTTTACCCTTTTACAACATGTCAGCTTTGTTCAGAAATTTTGTCCAAAGTTCAGCGAAAGTTGCCGCATTTTAAGAAAGGAAAAAAAGGTGGAAATTGTGTTCAAAGGTCTGGGATAGGCGGGGAATTAGACCATTTTGGAATTAAGGAAAAGCAAAAATAGTCAGGGAATGTGAAGATGAATAAATTATGGCATCCTTGATTCCTGTGCCGAACTAAGGAGTAAAGTTGTATTTTAACTCGGAAATATTGTGCTTTGAGCATGGCATATTAGAATGTAGAACCTCGCGAAACCCAACTTACTATATTTTTTCATTGTTTTACGGTCAGCGCATTATTCGAACGCCGAGTTCGTGTTTCGGATTCGGAAAGCAGCCCGTCAAAGTAATTGGCCGAAAAAGACGTCACGCTCAAGGAAAACTCTGATTGCACCGTGCAACCGTTTCGTATCGCGAAAGCCGTAGGGCGTAGGCGGATCTCAAATTTCGCCCGCAAAATCGAGCGTATGCAACCTGGCCCACCGCGGAGTTCAAATAGTTGCATGTTGAGTCCGAACCCAACTTCGAATATCCTCCCATGGTCTTTACGCTCCGCGCGTTATCCAGATGCCGAGTTCATGTTTCAGAAAGATATGGTTGCTTCATATCGCGTCATTTTGTTGTATTGTTTTAAAATGAAAATAGTGTCGCTTAAATTAATTATTTGATGTAGAAGAAAACTGGGATGATATTCAGTTCGCTTCACTTGGATATGACAAGAGCCTCAAAAAAAAGTTCCTCAAAGGGAAATGTATTCCAATCGTTCAATCCTCTTTTCTTAATCATGTCATCGTGGGTTCCATGTGTTTGCTGAAATGGATTTCTTCAAACTTTCTCCACAATTCTAATCAGCGGTCTGATTTTTGAAATTGATAGGTACAGCTATAGACAAAGATGATTTAAGAGAATGGAGCGATCCTATTGGTTAATAGGGTGGTTCTCATAGACTAAAGGAGGAAATGATGGACTTCCTAGTTTGTCTACCACCTACCTCCTTTGTGCATCGCAACCTCTCGCTTCCACCAATAGGATCCCTCCACATCCTTTTTGTCTATCGCTTTGTCTATCAGTTTCAACAATCAGCCCAAAGGCTGGCAGCGGCCCATGTGGCCACCCCCTTAATCCGGCCGTGGGTAGCGGCACCAATCTCCGGGGGTTGGTCAAGGGGCGAAGTCCCCTAGTATGAAGATTAAAATTTCCCATCGAGGGTGACAAGTTTTGAAAAGTCAGGGTGAATCTGCAAGGTCAGGAAATTTTGCCCATCCCGAAAAGTCAGAAAATTAACAGGCTTGGGAGATTTCACTCCAGGATTCTTAAGAGTGCTTTCCCGTTCTCATCCTCTTGATTTTTACTTTCTCGTTCCCCCTGCGGCCAGAGATAGTACTTCTTCGACTCAGGATTTCAGGAACCGATTTTATTGAATCGATACCATTTGTGACGTCGAACTCATGGCCCGCAGTTGTCGACTATAGACGGACATAGAGAGAACACGCAGATCGGGTGTGACCCGACAATGGTGTTGTCGCATCTGAGGCGGAATGCAAATCACCCGGCCACATATCGCTTGGAAGAGAGTTAATCGCACGAAGCCACGCGGCATCCATGCCGGGTTGCGGCTGCCCTCGGCCGAGGAGACGGTGAGAACTGCCGTACTGAGGAAAAACGCCGTAAGAGCAGTCGAATGTTGCCAAATTGCATCTCATAAAATGTTTATTCTTGAAGAAATCCATGAATATTTTCCCTTGAAATTTTCGGATACTTTCGATCTAATTACGAGCAAAATTCTCTGCAAAATCGGAAGGAGATTATCTACCAATTTTCCGGAAAATTCGTGATTTGTCGAAGGAGATTTGGCAACGTCGGAAGGCTCATACGGTTTTTTTCCTGAGCTTGGCGGAGGAAAGCACCGGGCGACCCGGGCCCGGGCCATCCATCATTTTTAGTGGCCCTCAGCATGTAATTTTTGCAATTTCCACGCCCGGCGCCGCGACCCTGATGTACGGTCGATTTGGACGCCCTCCCCCCGCCCCCCGCCCCTCGCTCCGACTCGAAATTAGTTTTCGAGTGGGGCCGTCGGATCCGATCCTTCCTCGCAGCGGATTCCGCGGCCATGAAATGTGGGTTCGAGTCCTCGGTTCTCACCCGGTTTTGAGTTTTCGCGAGGGTACTCACTTATACCTCTTTCGGAATTAAGCGACTCCTCGTGCGTCGCGTCGTTGCCCGGTAGAAGCTCATCCACGCGTTTTCTCCGTCTTGTACAAAGACTTAAATGCGACAGCCCAAGTTAGAGTACCTGTGTGGGGAGACAAGTGTGTCTACAGGCCCCGAAAGTCCTGAAAAAGTCCAGATTTGCTTGACCGGCCCCGAAGTCACGAATAAGTCCGGAAATTTAACTCGAGATCCCGAAAAATTTAAAAATTCACGGTTTTCGCGAGTCAAAGTGTAGTTGTTACGTAGAAAAAATGTCCCCGATTATACATACTTATCATGGATTCTTTTAGTCATCAGCAATTGTCATAAAGATGGACTCGATTTCCATTAAAATTAGAAGTAAGTGTAGACTCCGAGGGTCCTGAAAAAGTTCTGAAAAGGTCCCGAAAAAGTCCTGAAATTGGTTTTCAAAAACCTGTAGACACCCTGGGAGAGTAGCAGAGACAGAGACTCTCCACTAGCCTCCTGGCCACAAGTGGAAGCTTTTACTTTCGGGGATTCAACAATTCCTCATGGACAATCATAAGCGAGCAACAGTCATCACTCTTTTTTCGGCTGTTGACGTGCCTACATGGTGGATGATGAGCCCCGGGTGACGTCATGAGCCAAACAAGTTTCCCAAACTTCGGCTTGTTCGCAAAACGAAACTACCAACACGTTGTTAAACATCAACCATGTAGATAAGTCGACAGTTTCCTGTTGAAGTCCCAAAAGTAAAAGCTTCCACGAGATACGAGTGGGGTCTCTTGTCTTTGGCGATTGCGGACAAGTTGATAATTTTGAGAGTATAGGTCATGGAGTTTTTAGGGCCCTGAAGGGCGTTTTCTCATAGGTCACTACCAATCTGTAGTCCTTAAATCCTTGGTTTCATCAAAGGGTTTCAAATCATTTAGATTTGAAGCTCATAAGAACTTCTTTTAAGGTGAGAAGAGCCGTTTTGATTTTTAAAGCCGTATAAACCGGTCACGCCGCGCCTCGCGCTGCTGACTGATTTCATGGAGATCCTACAACCATGAAGACCAATCAAATGGCGGCTTTGGAGATCCTACAACCATGAAGACCAATCAAATGACGACTTGAAGCACACCTCTTTTACCAGGGCTTAGGTGTGCAACGCAGTCAGGGATCAATGGGAAGAGTCACATTCAACCCAACCAACCCTGCAGCCCTGCTGCCTATGGTGTAATTGACTTAATAACGCACATGCACCACCAAGAAGGACCAGAAATTCGGAAGAAAATTAAAAAATGATCTTGCATTCCAAGTTTTCCTATTGGCATAACCAATGCTTTTAGGCAGTGAAATCCTAGCCTCTAAGACGTGAGGCCTTGTCTTTATTTCAATGTGAGCCCTGAAAAGTATGAAGATATAAAGACAATAGGGCTGAACTCAAAAATAGTCTTGCTCTTACATCAGAAGCGACTAAATATGGTCAGGTCAAATGTAACCCCTTCATCTTAAGTTGCCTTCTCCCTGTATCTCTCCCTCTCTTTTCTTTGTACTTGTATCACATCTTGAAATATGATACACTAGGATACTCTGACTTAATTGTTGTAAAAAGAGCCGTGCATAATGGGAAACCTTATGCTTGCGACGTCGTATTTGTGTTGAGTGCATTACTTTCGTTCATAATAACCGGGGATCAAGTCTAATTTTGGCGGATCCAGCAAAGTGGCAACATTATTTTTCTCCAGTTAGACCTATGGAAATGTACCTAAAGATTCTTCAAAGCGAAAACTGTCTCGAAAGTCAGAATTTTTCATAAATCTTGCCACTCTGACGGAGCGCCCGTCTTCGCCACAACTTGAGGCGATCAAATTATCCGAAAAAAAGTGGTTCTCTACCCAATTACCGAGCAAGTGGCTCAGGTTTTCTGCTCAGTTATTACTAAGCGGGCTTCGTCTAAGGAGGGCCTCGTCCCCAGTATTTGACCTTTTTATTTCGCGGCCTCCTTATAATATTGATGTCTGCGTTATATTCCATGGTGCTCCGCACTTTCATGGATACTTGAAGGAAACCTCTTCAAATTTACTGATGTACCACCGAAGTACACGGCCGTATGGTTCAGTTGTCACACGAAGTATTTTAAAACCATCGTTAGCACTATTGGAGCCTTCATTTTATTGTATCTACTTGCCACGCCAATGCGAAATAGAGATTGCAATAAAGTTTAGATCACTCTCTAATACTGCCCCGCTAAGGAAAAACGCCGTATGAGCCTTCAGGCGTTGCCACATTTCCTTTGATGAACCCCGGATTTCCCGGTAAACTTATGAATATTTTCCTTCCAATTTTTAAGGCAATTTTGTTCGCAATTTCAACTCGAGTTCCTGAAAATTTCAAGGAAAAATATCCATAACTTTCCTGAAAAATGAACATTTTATCGAAGAAGATTTGGCAACTCTCGAATGTCCATACGGCGTTCATGATTCGTGGGCGTTCGGGTTTTTACGGAGAGTGTCTACAAGTCCGGAATTTCCGGAAAGACCGGAAATAATACTGATTTTTCAAGGGCGGTCCGGAAGTACTGAAAAAGTTCGGAAATTTCGCAAAAAAGTCATGAATTTTTTTTAAATTTTTTGTTATTTTTGTCGCAGTTTCAAATTTTTGAAGTTTTTCTAATTTCGTCAAATGGAGGTACTGAAAAAGTACGGAATTTCTTTGTTGGAGGAGATACTGAATTTCACGAGGATGTACTGAAATAGTACTTATTTTTGACCAGTCTATTTAAGTAGACACCCTGTTTTTACGATTGAGTAAAAGATTGTAGTTTCTGATTGCAAAATTTCATCCAAATATACTTGCATTGCCTTCATTCCACATCCCACGTACCTACTGTGTTATTTCTCAAGTTTCTTTTCTTGTCTTTGTTTTCACTTGATGTTTGATTTGTCTGTTACAGACGAATATGGGCCCCATTCTACTGTCGATCAACCCGTACACAGACGTAGGGAACCCACTCACGCTGACGAGCATGCGCGGGGTGACGCTGAGCGCGTCGCTTCTCAAAGTCGTCCAGGACGCCGTGCGTCAGCAGTCGGAGACCGGCTACCCCCAAGCCATCATCCTCTCAGGTAACTAGTAAACTCCCTTGCGCTTTATTCGTCTGAACAAGATCAGGGTGTCTAGAAGTTCGGAATTTCTGGAAAGCCCGGAAATAGTACTGATTTTTTAAGGGCGGGCCGGAAGTACTTAAAAAATGCGGAAATTCCGCAAGAAGGTCCGGAATTTTTTTCATCTCTTATCATTTTTGTCGCAACTAGAGCGAGATATTCCAATTTTTGAAATTTTACGAATTTCATCAATCGGAAGGTACTGAAAAAGTACTGAATTTTTTTGTTGTGGCGGCACTGAATTTCTTGGGAATGTACCGAAAAAGTACTATAAAAGTACTGATTTTCGGCCAGCCTGTTTTGGTAGACACCCTGAAGATCGAAGGCAATCAGAAACCCAAAGCGTATTTGGTGTGTCAGGAGCCAATGATAATAACCGCCTTTCCTCGTACTGATTCCGACTTACGATTTTCTAGCTTGATACAACAAGCATACAATTCAAAAATTTTGAAGACACTTAGATCTTCTTTTCTGAGC